AAGTTTATATAAAATGAGATTAGATAAGATTATATAAAATAAAATGAGATGAGGTGAGATTATATAAAATGACAAAATAAGATTAGATTAGTAAAATGAAAGAGGATAAAATAAATGAAATAAAAATGAGATTAAATGAAATTTAAAAAAAGAGGTGAGATCAAATTAAATAAAATGAGATGAAATAAGAGAGAATTAGATTATATCAATAAAATGAATAAAATGAGGTGAGATTAGAGGATTTATATAAAATTAGATTATATTGATAAATTGAGATGAGAAGAACTTTATTTATCATCAAAATAAATGAAGTCTGAAGAAACACTGAGATGACCGAGAGTAAACTGGTTTTTAGGGTCCCAGTTCAGAGTAGACTGGTTTTAGGGTCCCAGTTTAGAGTAGACTGGTTTTTAGGGTCCCAGTTTAGAGTAGACTGGTTTTTAGGGTCCCAGTTCAGAGTAGACTGGTTTTTAGGGTCCCAGTTCAGAGTAGACTGGTTTTTAGGGTCCCAGTTTAGAGTAGACTGGTTTTTAGGGTCCCAGTTTAGAGTAGACTGGTTTTTAGGGTCCCAGTTTAGAGTAGACTGGTTTTTAGGGTCCCAGTTCAGAGTAAACTGGTCTTTAGGGTCCCAGAGTGTGATGAGTCTTTTTCTCATTCATGTGTTCTCATGGACGACAGTCTATAATCTATAATCTATAATAATCCTGTTATTGATCTAATCTGATAACTGCTCATAGATAACCCTCTGACAGATGTCTTCATCACCGATCAAATCAATCAGTGATTGATCTGCTGCTGCTGTGTTTCCCTGGTTCCCTCTTTCACCTGATGCCCCGCCCACATCAGTTTTTGATTGGCTCATGTAACTCTAACTGTCACCAGGTAACCAGGAACGTGACAGTGTTCAAGTTTGAACGGAGTATCAGCTTCAGGTCCTGTTAACCGCTCTGAGTCAGAACCAGAACTGGACCTGAAGAACCTGAGCTGATACGGCTCACTGACCTTTGACCCCTCGTTAAAGTGTGAGGACGACCCACCGACCGGGCAGGACCAACGAGAAAACGCCGACCGAGCAGGACCAACGAGAAAACGCCGACCGGGCGGGACCAACGAGAAAACGCTCTTCTGTTCAACATCGAGATCGAGGTTCGGTCTGAAGGAGCGGAAGTTTTTTAGAGGAGGGGGATTGTTTGTATATAAACCACACACACTGTTTCCTGTGTGTGTGTGTGTGTGTGTGTGTGTGTGCGTGCATGTGTGTGTGTGTGTGTGCGTGCTGTGGATTGGTGGGGCGTTTCAGGCTGATTCCTCCAGAACTCAGCCATTGCTGAAACTTAGCAACAGGAGCCAGGGGCCTCCCTCCCCAGAGGGCCCGCTGCAGAGACACATTCATTACTGGCCCAGAATCGGGGGGCCGGATTAAAAATTCATGCTGTTTACAACAACAAAAGCCCCCCCCCCCCCCTGTTAAAGAATATGAGCCTTCTGAACAATGGCTCCACCAAACCGTGAGCAGATCGCTGACATCTCAAAGGAGAGCAGCGCCGCCGCCGCCGCCGTACCACAGTGTGTGTGTGTGTGTGTGTGTTGGTGTGCTGCTAACAGCTAGCGGTGAGCTTCCTGAGTGTGTGTGCACACACACCCTCTGCTGCCGCCTCTGCTGGTATAAATAATGATGCTGTTTACTGCAGCGGGGAGTGAAAACAGCTTAAGGGCGCCTGAATTAGGACCCGCTCCCCTCAAAGTCTTGTGCCTTGTCATGCTGTTTACGCCCATAATAGAGGAAGCATGTCCTCTCAATGTGCTGCACATGTGTGTGTAGGTGCCAGGGCCACAGTGTGTGTGTGTGTGTGTGTGTGTGTGTGTGTGTGTGTGTGTGTGTGATTTGTTGGCGTAGGGACTGTGCTTATGAGCTCCATTCAGTGTTAATTAGCACACTCCACAGCCATCATTATATCAGGTTCCTGCGGTGGCGTCTGATTGCATTGTCACTGTGGGTGGGGCGGGGGGGCTGAAACTGTACCGATGGGGGGGACTCACCACACACACACACACACACACACACACACACACACACACACACACACACACACACACACACACACATATATTATAAACATACTGTTCTGCACGAGTGCTCTGAAAACTACAACATGGAGGATCACTGGTTGGAAAGGATATTATGGGGGGGGGGTCGGGGCGGTCGTCCCCGTGCCCCCCCCCCCCCCCCCCCAGTGAACAGGTGCGAGGTCAGAGCAGGAGGCCAATAATAGCCGCTCCTCCTGGTTCTCAGAAAGCGTCCTCTCATCGCCGCTGTTTGGATGACCGTGACGTGAAGGAGGTGAGAGGCCGTGTGTGCGCGGGTCAGAGAGAGCGGCTCTGTGTGTGCCCGGCCCTGACCTTTGACCTGTCCTCTCCATCACAGAGCTGCAAACAGCAGAGAGGCTGACGGAGGAGGAGGAGTGTCGTTGTGTTGTTGCTGTTTTCTGCTGTTTGCATG